AACAGGTATTTCTAGTGCCATTGTCAGGGATGGATTCTATCTCCAAACTCGGTAGTGACTCTAAGAAATGCCAACACACCCAACTTCTCCCTCTTTGCCTCGCCCAGCCGGTCACCGCCCTAGGGGTGGCGGTGCATCGGACAGGGGGGTGATGGTGCCGCAGAGGCAGCACCTCATCCCCTACTTCGCCTTCTTTGATTCCTTTGCAAATGTGCCAACACCCCAAGTGTTTCACTATCACGTGTAAGTATGTTAGCATTTTCATAATTATTTTTCAAAGGTTAATCACCCCTCACCGATTGTGCACTAGGCCTAAAATGCAATATTTGCAAGTATTTCAACACCTAGTGGCACTAGATGATCGAGTTGTCTAATAAGAGCTTCCCTCTTAATAGTTCGATCCATATATCCTAAATGTAATCACACTCTCTGTAGCGTCTTGATCACCAAAATAAAATGGCCATATCAAATATACATTTGCTTTGAGTCCATTTTATTTTTCTCTTTCCTCTTTTTCAAGTCTGGAGCTTATCATCATCACATATTCAGACTATCACCATGGACATCATTTCATGTGGCCATCTCCATCCATGAGTGCCACTTAACTCCATCACTTGGGTTGAACCAACCTACCTCAAATCTACACTTAGAGCATAGGGTTAGTCCAAATAGGTCTTATCAATTATCAAAATCAAATTAGGTCTTTGAACAGTCCCCTCTCCTAGTGCACCCTCCACCCGGCAATCCCAGCTCAGCCTCGCTCGTCCTAGCTCCACCAACACATCTGTATCTCTACTTCTTTCTATGTCTCACCTTTTTATTTTCTGTGTATTATACTTTTTTTTAATTCCCGTGCATAGATCTATAAGATCTTCTATTCCGGACTGAAGTAAGATGTGTGCTTAAGATTCGTATTTATTTTGAGACGATGAGGTACTAAAACCGGGCCGGACAATGGAACATAGAAACATGAGGCTGCTGCTTAGCAGCCTGGGACCCACGTACCGGGAACATGGCGGGATGCCATACGGACAGCCTATGGAACGTGATTCGCCATCGCTCGCGGTCGCTGGCTCGTCGCTTGCCGCTCGGTTCTCGCTGGCTGCCCAAACGCCGAGCCCGCGAACGGCGAACCCCAACTGTCCCGCAGCGCTGCGGGAGGCCGCCGTACGCCGCCGCATCAATTCGATGTCGTCACAGTTTCGCAGTAGGAATGGGCTTCTCAGGATGGGGCGATGGGCGGCGTCGGCGTGCCCGTGCGTGGGCAGCAGCGGCTTCTCAGGATGCTGATGGGTGCGGCTTGGACCCTGGAATGTGCTTTAGGGTTTAGTAAAAAAAAAAAAGACGCGCAGGGAGTTGAACTCGGCACATTCCAAAACGACTCTATCCTGCATGGACCAACTACCACGTTTCCTACGCATTTAATTCAGATTTAGTACGCATTCCAGTACTCGAAGGAACAAGTTGAAGCTGTATATCCCTTCGGGCCTGTTTAGTTCACCCCAAATTCCAAACTTTGGCACTATATAAAAAGAAGATTCCCCGTCACATCAAACTTGCGGTACATGTATGGAGTACTAAATGTTGACGAAATCAAAAACTAATTGCATAGTTTGGTTGTACTTTACGAGACGAACATTTTGAGCCTAATTAGTCAATGATCGGACAATTGTTACAAAATAAAAACACAACGCTACAGTGCACCACATGTTGCTACAGTAACTTAGGCGGCGCCAGTTCTGGGGAACTAAACGAGGCCTTCGTTTCACAGTTTATGAAAATATCGTACCACTCACTTCTCGTATCACGTTCCTGCGTTCCGGTTTGGCTGGGCTGCTGCAGGGATTCTCTCGGTCCCTTGCATGGTGCCCTCGGTCTTCCTCGACTGCAATGCTTAAAATTGAAGCAAAGCTCTCGCCTCGCTCCAGCCGCCGCCTGAATTGATCTCAATAGTAAAAGGAGAGAGAGAGGGCACGGTTTTCTCTGTACAGGGAGCTTTGCAGTTTGCACAGCTTTGGAACTTGCTCAGCTTTGAAGCCTTTGTCGTTTTGATGTCAACTTGACGAGGCACAGGCACCCTCGTTTCTTGTCCAAGGTCATCCCCGTGTCTGGCAAGCTTGAGAAGCTCCGCTGCTGCCTGATGGTCTGCTCTTTCTCCTCTTTCTCTGTATGCATTCGTACGTTTTATTTTCCTTTTTCCGGAAGGGGTACCCATTCCTACTCCTGGTATCCTAAAATATCTGTCATTTTCGCTTCTCAAAAAATAACTTTGACAAAATATATATTAAAAATAATAATATTTATGGTACATATTGGTATCATTGGAAAAATCTTTAAATCTAGTTTTTTAATAAATTTATTTGGAGATACAAATGTTACACGTATTTTCTATAAATCGAATTAAACTTACGACAGGAAAATCAAAAGCAACAAATAATTTTGGACAGATGGAGCACGTGCCAGACGCAGTTACTGCTACCAGGCTAGGGCGTGTACCATCAATTGACATATACACATCTTAATTGACATGGCTATTCATCCATAAAATCTCATTACGAATCTTAATTCAATTAAAAAGTATAATAAAATAGATTAGTCATGGGCCATATGTTTCTATTTTAGTTAGCAAATTTGGAACCATGGCCTAAACTTTAATCTGATATCCAAATAGATGGACTAAAGGTAATTAATCTTTAGTTTTTAATCTAACTGGCAATTAATTTATTAGTCGATAAATGCGAACTAATATGGACTAAAAGGTGCACATGATTTTTTAGTCCATGTATCCAAACAGCACTGGAATAAGGGGGTGTTTAGGACTGCTCTGCTCCATGTTTTTCAGCTCCGCTCCACATTTTTTAGTCAAACAGTTTCAGCTCCACGCACTTTGTTCGAGAAAAAAGGGTGGAGTTGTGAGAGCAACTAAAAAGGTACTGCACAAACTTCAATTTTTTATGGAGCTGCTCCACGATGGAGTTTGTGAAGCAAAGCTTGTGGAGCAGTCCCAAACACCCTTAAACCTTAGCCACCTAAATTAAAGTTTAGTCAAACTAAACTCTAATTGTAGGTGGGTAAACTCTAATTCTAGGTGGGTTTGGTTTGGACTAATTTGCTCTATCAACACCATCTTCGATTCACCAACTACGTCATGAAGCGGCTTCACTCCGGAGTTGCCCTTCCACTACGTCATGAAACAACTTCACTCTAGAGTAGCCCTTACACTATGGAGCAGGTGCACATGTTTAGCTTGTAGCTCTTCTCTAGCTTCTGTGATTGAAGGTTTTTGTAAAAACGGCCATTTATGCCCATATGATATTATATGTTTAGTTGTTTTAATATGTTTAGCTTTTATATGAGTGTTTCTTGTTATTTTAAAATCATTTGCAATGTTTTGGTACAACAGAAATGATCTCTTGGTCTGTATGCAAGACAAAAATGCCTTGTAAAATATGTCGTCACTTCAAAACTTTACAATCACCACTGTCAAATGGGCAGTTGTAATGCGGCACACCGATCATCATATAGAAAGAAAGATTGAAGAACCATAAGGCTGTTCTCAGTTCATACATTCATCTCCCATGTGGGATGCCTTTCTTCTTGTATTTCACCACTGTCATCAGCAACATTGATGGGCATGTTCTTGTTTCTTTTTTTCCAATTGCCCAAAGCATATCTAGAGAAGTAACAAGGTAACTACATATACATAATCTGTATCTACACTTTTATCCTGAGAAGTAAGTGGGACGGAGCTAGAGTAAATTCGAGAGGAGTGCACTCGGCTTGTGGGTGCAAGGATTTTCAATATGTGGGTGCATATATGGTAAAATTTTGGCTCTAACTACCTTTTTTATTTTTATGAGGGTGTGGCTGCACCCCCTAAAATGAATATAGCCATCAGTTTGAATACCAAATTGAAGATGTAAAGGTTAACAAATGTACTGAAGTTTAAAATTCAGAACTGATGGTGTAAAAGTTAACAAATTGACATACTTGTGTTAAGTTGTGTTGTATAGGTTGACAAAAACATGGTCAGGTTCTTATTTTCGCAAAATTCAGAACAGAATGTCTAAAACATGGAATCACTGATTTGTCAAAACTCCATGTTTATTCCAAGTCTTTTTTTTTTTGAACTTAAACTATCAATATCTATACAATACAATATTTTAAATATAGGAATATACTATGAAAGCATGTTGTAACCATACATATCTAGCAATTTCGACTTGTGTTGTTAATGTACATAAAATTTAAGATGATAGTCAAAGTTAATTAAAAAGCATAACATATAACAAATCTAGATGGTCTTCACAAATAGTCTTTGGATATGATTTCATGGCATTTTGCAACTCCAAATAAGTTGCAGCTCACCGTTTGTACAAGGTTTTCTAGTTTGTTTTTTTTATCAAGAAATAAATGCATCTAATGAGGAGCTCACCAGTCAAGATTTATGTCTAAAACCTTACTTTTCTCTGTTTTTTCTCGTCGTTTTGCCCCTGTATGCACATTTCAAATGGGTGTATACGCGCATTTCTGGAGATATTTTCTCCAAAAGAATCCGCCAACCCATACAAGACATCGCAATTCACATGGCAACACATTACACATCAATCACCAAAACAGAACACCCTACCAAAGCACCCAATGACGGTCTACCCATGGTTAGAATCTGCCTCAACGCATTGCAATCATTCCGTAACAATCACCTCGTTCGGCTGGTCCGCGCTACAGTGAAAACGGATGGTTTTGGATGAATAAATAGTATTCTGTGAGAGAGAATATCTGCAAAGCCAGTGCCTCCTTCCACATGCGGAACCGGAAGCATGACTAGTAGTAGTAAACAACACGAATAATTTATACAAGCTTGCGCACGCGCATATAAATCAATTTCCAATGTAACGTAACTTGAGGCCTAAAACCAAATAATGTGCCGTTTATACCACTAGAGAGCAGCTTTTGGAGAAGTTTTCCTTGGCCCAAGAGCTGCTTGGGCCCAGACATAGTCAATCGGTCTTCCCTTCCTGTGCTCCAACCTCCTGCAGGTAGTGCTCTGCATCCAAAGCAGCCATGCAACCTGAACCATCCAAGCGGTTACCATAGAGTTGGAAAGTTTTCTTAATCGATTTGCTCATGTTATAATATTACTACCAAGAAACACTGTCAACGGGGACTGCATCGCATTTTGAAACCGACACTGTTTCAGGAAGGGATAACAGACTGGAACAATGCATGTAGATCTTCGAAATTCCATGTAGCTTAAATTATAAATTAAATCTTGGAATGGATTTTTCATTAAGTAATAAATGATATTGATGCAAATTACTTCTCAGTTACTCAATTAATAAAGAGAAAAGGATAATCAAAACAGAGAACTCAATGATTCAGAACAAAAGAGGCCATAGCAATCCTCTAACCATAACCATAGTTCCTTAGAAGTTGTTTCACAGTTACTCTACTCCCAGCATATGATAATTGACCTTTGGTGGGTATATCTGTCCTAATTGCCCAACTAGATCATTAGCATCAAGTTATTAAAAATATTGCAAGGAATAAGCTAGTATTTGACTACTAATTTACTGCTGGTGTGTCTATTGAATTGATTGCAAGACAATTAATCAACAGACTATTTCCATACGGAGATACTGAAAATCATCACTATAGTTTAATTGCAAAATTCAGTTATGTAATGGGAAAAGGGTATAATCCCAGTTCGAAAAAAAAGTAAATAAAAAAAGAAAAAGGGCAATGAAAACAGTGAACACAATGATTCGGAACAAAAGAGTAAGAGACCATATCAATCCAACCATAATCCCTTTAGTTGTTTCACAGTTATGCTGCTCATGGCATATGATAATTGCCATTGGTCCAAGATCTATCTGTCCTAATTGCCCAACTAGATCGTTTATATCAAGTTATTACTAATAAATAATGTTCAAAGGATTAAACTTTATAGTATGTAACTACTAGTTAACACCTGGTACTCTTAAATCTTAATCGCAAGAAAATCATTTAGCATACTATTTCCACAAGGGGATACTGAAAAACATCACTATAGCGTAATTGCAAAATTCTGTTATTCCGCCAATATTGGATAATCTCAAATATCACAGAGAAGGGAACCTCAGTACTGGAATAAGGTGCAAGGATATGCTTTCAATGCCTACAAGATTTATAAAGGTAGGCTTCGAATAAAACAATGAGAAAGCTTCACGCCTCTGAGAGAGAAATCTTGTGGAGACCTCCTAAAGAGTAAAGGTCAAACTTGAAAAAGAGGACTAATTCTTATTCTTGTAAGTCATTTCAACTTGCAAGTAACCTAATGTTGCATGAACACACCACCCTTTCCTGACCTTTTTCGAATAGGCCTAAATTTGAGAGGCAAACAATTAAAAGATAAGATTCCACCACACAGTAGTTCAGGAATTCCATAAAATATGGCATAAACCACCTAAAGATCATGGGGATCAGAACCAACCACAACACCCTCTTCGAGTGAGCATATTGGATGCAAATAGAAATCATTGTTTAAACTACTGTTGCCTAGTCACAATTGTAGTCACAAACACCATCTTATCAAGCATCACAAACTTAGTCACAAGTTGATGCTATTGTTTGTGTAAACAGCAAAAATATTGCATAATAACATAGACACTCTGTTTACTAATTGGATATTGGATATTTGTTTAGCTAGAGATGTACTTCACTATATAATGTCAATTAGCTCCCCACAAACTAACACGAGGCATGCTCCATTTCAGGATCCACCAATGCCATTTCCTAGCATATAACATGGATGCAACATAAAAAAAAAGGGCACCAACCCATAATTGCGCAAATCAACTATTGGGATCATGGAATACCAAAACAGCAGCACTAAAAAAACCACAATGAAGCTTATACCTGATCCAGCGGCAGTAATGGCCTGGCGGTACTTCTTGTCCTGGACATCCCCAGCTGCGAAGACCCCCTTCACACTGGTGTGCGTGGAGCCGGGCTTGGTCACCACATACCCATCAGTGTCGAGCTCGAGCTGCCCTCCAAGAAATTTTGTCGCTGGCTCATGACCGATGGCGAAGAAGAGCCCGGCCACCTGGAGGTCGGAGACCTCGCCGGTGACGACGTTCTTGACCTTGACGCCGGCCAGCGGGCCGCCTTCCGCACCACCGTAGGCCTCGACGACCTCGGAGTCCCAGACGACCTTGATCTTGGGGTTGGAGAGCGCGCGCGCCTGCATGATCTTGGACGCCCGGAAGGCGTTGCGGCGGTGGATGATGTAGACTTGCGAGCCGTACTTGGTGAGGAAGTTGGCCTCCTCCATGGCGGAGTCCCCGCCACCGACGACGGCGATGGGCTTGTTCCGGAAGATAGGTGCAGCCCCGTCGCAGACGGCGCAGGCGGAGATGCCCCTGTTCCAGAAGGCGTCGGAGCCGGCGAAGTGCAGCCTGCGCGCGACGGCGCCCGTGGCGACGACGACGGAGTCGGCGTGCACGACGGTGTCGTCGGAGGCGACGCGGAAGGGGCGGGCGGAGAAGTCGACGGAGGTGACGGTCTCGGTGAGGATCTTGGTCCCGAACCTGAGCGACTGCGCGCGGCAGCGGTCCATGAGGTCGGCGCCGAGGATGCCGTCAGGGAAGCCCGGGAAGTTCTCGACGTCGGTGGTGGTGGTGAGCTGTCCCCCCGCGGCGATGTCGTTGGCGAGCCAGCCCTCGAAGAGGACGGGCTTGAGCTCGGCGCGCGCGGCGTAGACGGCCGCCGTGTGCGCGGCTGGGCCGCTGCCGATGATGCAGACGCGCGTGCGCAGCGGGCCCGCCGCGGCGACAGCCTCCTCCATCCCGTTGGCCGACACCGTCGCGGCGGCTGCGGCGGCAGTGCTGGTGGTGGTGAGGGCGCGGGACTTGCGGAGCAACGCGAAGAGCTTGGAGCAGAGGCTCATCAAGCCCGACGGAGCGGCGGCGGCGGGGGACAGCCGCTCTGTTTGCTTGGTGACTGCAGGCCGGGCCGAAGAATGGGCTGGAGCGGGCCGGCGTGCGTGTGGTTGGTGTGGCTGGCCCTGACCGCCTCGGAGTCGGAGGATTTTATGCGCGGTGTGAACGTGTGTGGACACGCGACGCGAGTAGCCGAGAGCAAATGTTGGACACGGTGTGAGGCTGCCTCGTTCCATACTCGTCTTGCCCATGGGTGAACCGTTGAACTGTGAAGCTAACGATGAGGTGATGCAATGCAAGACAAGGTTGCGGCTCACCTTAGTTTCACGCCCCGTTCGCTACTCTGAAACTTGGCTGAAACTGGCTGGTTGTTGTGAGAGAGAAATACTGTTTGGTTGATTGATGAATAGTAAAATGTGAGAGGGATTAGCCGGCTGGTCTGGAACTTCCAGACCAGCGAACGCGCCCATGGAGTCATGGCACACGTTGATGCCCAGTTGCACACACCACACTACGCGCACAATGCATGTCGGCACGCATTACAATTATTTACAAATATATAGGTTTGACTATTCATGAGAGCGAATTTTTCAGATTTTAATAGCGTTGTGATTCATTGAAGGCGACATTCCCGTCGACGACGAGGCGTCTATGGTGACTTTGTCAATCTTAAAGATTTATCGGTCCAGTCTTCGAATATGCTTATAGAGGTAGGGTTTGTGTACGTACGTTCACAGGGGTGAGTGTGTGTGCGTTGAGAGTGTATGTGTAATTTGCAAAAAAAAAATGCATGGGTGGCAGCTGAACTAGTTTAATGGGTTGTTTGGATTAGGAAGCTAATAATTAACCCATGTTTTTTATACCAATTAAATAGCTTAAATGTGAGCTAATTCTAGTGTAACAAGAGCTATGTACAATTAACAAATCAGAGAGACCATTTTGTGTGGGGCTATATCAGAATAGGTTGTTTTTCAGTCAGATCCATGTACAGAGTCTTATTAGTAGCAGAAGCTATACCATATAACACATTAATCTAGAAACTGGAACTATCTCTCAAAATCAAAGTCTTTATGTGGTATTTATAGGGAGTAGTCTTAACAAAGGATAATTTAACATAGCGGCAATGGCAAGAAGATAGGAAGTGTTGTTTCTGTTCTTCATATGAGTCTATACAACACTTGCTCTTTGACTATCATTTTGCTAAATTCATATGGAGAATTATTCAAGTTTCCTTTAATTTAATACCTCCAACTAGCGTAAATAGTTTGTTTACAGGTTGGTTGGAAGGGATAAATAGAAAACTAAAATATCATATTCTTGTGGGTGCAAATGCAATTTGTTGGACGTTATGGCTAACTCGGAATGATATAGTGTTTGACAAAGTCCTAGCACCATCTTATTTGCAGGCTATCTTCAGGGGACCTACTGGACCAGGTCTTGATCCCTATTACAAAAGGAGGAGGATCGCCGAACGATAAAAATAGGATGTAGGAATATTGAGACAACCGTGATAGAGGTGTTTGCTAGACACGGTCGGAGATTTAGCAATAGAATTGCTTTATAGATGTGGAATTTGGAAACGATATTTTTATTTTATATGGCTCAAAACTTTGTGTTTGAGATTCATTGGGACGCAGTGCTCATGTTTGTAATAAGAAACAACTATATACATTGGTCGATGCAGAAGCTGGGATATTAATATATTTCCTTTTCTAAAAAAAAGCTAACGATGGCTAATTGATGGTTAGAGTCCATTAGCCCTTATAATTAGCTCATATTAAATTAGTCTAATTTTTAGCCCCACGATTTAAACAAGCCCTGAATATTGGCAACAGTCTAATCTGCTCCATCCCTTCTAAAGCAATTCGGATAATCCGCTAACCTATATATTCTTTTAATTTACACCCAAATATATTTAAGTTGGTTCATCAATCTACCCCTTGTAAGATTTTTCTTTGTTATTTCTCTACAAACTAGTTGAGTTTTAAGTTCAAAATTTTAGGGTGATAGATGACATCATAGCCTATGTTACAAAAATACATTATTATTTTTTATAGGTTAGGCATTTAATAGTTAAATAACATTGTGAGCATAAAATTTATAAAAGATATGTTAAAAAAATTAATTTATTTTCCTACCAGAAGTTATGACCTCTCCTATCACATTTTCATTCTAACTTAAGTTCAATTTAAATGAAAAGAAGCAAAAATACAAATCTTATTAACATGTATATTAGACCATAATTCCTACGTTCCAGTCACCTGGAAATTCAGGAAAGGTTTTAGGCGACACCGTTCATCTTCCTTCTGGGTTCGGGTTTCAGTGTTCCAATGGCTGCATGCTTAGAAAGGAGAGGCTTAGGGAGGCAGGTAAACACGGCGGTGGTGGCAGGTTGGCTAGAGGCGAGCTCGGCAGCGGGGGCAAATGCAAGCCAGAAGCGCTCCTTCATCCTGGTACATTTCATTTTTGTATACAACTCGTGGCAATCTACATAATTGAACGTATTAAGTAGGTTGGTAGGCTAGCCTACATGCATTGCGGTGTACCAAGTTTTTTTTTTCTAAAATCGATCACTAGTCATCACGCACTCTCTTTATCAAGGTGGCAGGGTCGTATTGTTGTCACGACGTAGGGCGCGTTCTTTTCCATAAGGGAAGGAACTAAAGGCTAAATTTTAGTTTTAATTAGTCCCTTTGAATCAAACACCAGGGACTAACGTCATGTGCGCTTGGCTTATAAGCCGTATTTTTTCAACCAACGAACAATATTTTTCTCTCACAATAAATCAGTCAACAGTACTTTTAGCCATGACTTATCAGCCAAACGAACAAGGCATAAAACAGTAACTAGGAACTAAAATGTAGTAGCCCCTTTGGGCCTGCTAATTGAAACTAAACAGCCCATACCCCTCCCTCTCTCTCCTCCCTCGTATTCTCTCTCCTCCTTTTAGTCCCTGGAAATAAATACCATTTTAGTTCCAATTTTAATTCCTGTTTTAGTCTCTAATCCTAGGACTAGTGAAAAGAACACGCACTTACTATTCACTAAACTCTAGTCCTCCCTACTGTCACCATCTTATAATAATTTAGAGAACTAACCGAAATCTAACACGTTGTTCGCTTGATCGTTTATGTGGCTTATAAGCCGGCTGATACTATTTTATTGTGAGAGAAAAACACTATATCATAGCTGATAAACATGGCTGATACGATCAAACGAATATGGTGTAAAGTTGTAGGGCTTTTGCTCAGAAGTGATTGCTATAGCACCACGGCTACTGCAATAGCAATCACTCGTCAACAACAATAGTTGCACGAGCGCTAAACAACCAGCATTAGTTGTAGCCACTATACACCAATCACTACCGAAGACACTAGTAGAAGATATGGCCATAGGTTGGCCATGCCATAGAAATAAAAAAAAACGGATTCAGTTTTACTTTTGTTTTGTTCTTGGTTTTCTTTTATCCCTCTCCTAGTCATTCTCGGGTAAAAGCATTAGTTGTAGCCACTGTACATCAATCACTACCGAACACACTAGTAGAAAATAGTGGTGGCCATAGATTGGCCAAGAAATCCGAATAAATACCGATTCAATTTTTTTTTGTTTTGTTCTTGGTTTTCTTTTATTCCTCTCCTAGTCATGCTGGGGTAAAAGCATGTTTTCTTTTGACTTGGGAACTATGCATAATGTAGGAGCTATTTGAACATTGCCTGCGTCAGATGCCGCAAATCTAGCCCCTAGGAGGGTTTTCTAGGATTAGAACATGAGACCTCAATGTTTATCTTTTCTCCAGCGTCCATACCAGCTAAACTGCATGACACTTGTGACTGTACAACCGATGCTATTCTTTTAAATTCACAATTTTAGATCTTATATTGTGTATTTAGCACTCTAAATGATTTTCTTGTAGATCTTGTTGAGTACTACAACTTTGATGTTGACTTTATCTTCATTCGACATTGCTACCCATATCAAATTAAAAAAATACCAGCTGCAAACTTTTAAATCTCTTTGAACTCTATAATTTTGGTATAAAGATTATGTTCATCTGACCCCATATGAAAATGTTATAAATTTTTTTGTGCAACAACAAACCGACATTGGTAGGTGGTCTATACTGTTGGTTTGTGATTTTAACCGTAGTGATATCTAGAACAGTGAACCAAACAAGTCCTCTGGTGTCGAATTCAAACATTAATGACCGACTATTTTTACAAAAAAAAAAGTGACTGCCGTGTCATGGATTCGTAGCTTGCTTCTTTGACGACGAACATTCTCTTTGCATAACCTAGCTAGGACTTCGATAGGATGGCATGCGAGTCATGCCTTTCTTCCGGGGACGAACGTGGAGAATTCTGGTCCTTTTGCCCTGGCCGAACGGTGAAGCGACGAATGGAATGGAAGCTTCCATGGCGAAGAGCCGAAGCCACAAAAAAAGGTTTGGCGCATGTCCCCGTCGCCGTAACGGCGAGTCGTCGCCGGGTTTATGCATCCAGTGCCGGTCCTACGATTTTGAGAGCTTCTGGCGAAGTCGTCGTGACGGTTCCTATAGACTATTTATAAATCTTATATAATATAACTATCTCTCTAGACTATATATAAATCTATCATGTGCTAGCAAATTTTTGCTTTGACTTGATTTGAACAATTTACAGCAATAACAAAAAACTTTGTCCACATGTTTAGAGTAAACCAACTATTTTGTATCAACCACCTCACCATTGGTTAATTTTTTGAGTAGTAAACATATGAAAAACGTCTATTAAGAGCATCTACAGGGAACTCAAGATTCAAATCTCTCACCGGCCCCTTTTCAATCAATATATCTCTACCCTTATTATCAAGATTTCTCCAAGTTCTAGATCAAAGACATCATGAATAGAAGCTTATTGCACATCATCAATTGAATTTTCAGGTTGAGGAGAAGACCGTAAATTTTTATTCTTTATAGCATCATCATTGGCATTAACTTCTTCACTTAAATTATCATTAACTTGTTGCTACC